GATGGGAGCCATTGTCACACCTTCTTAGCACATTTAGAGATGTAAATTACGTTCTTTACCTCTTCAGCAGCAACAAAGAAGAGTGGTATTCTGGGCCCACTTCTGCAGAGACTCCACTCAGTATTCACATCAAGAGGAAGGACAGATTAAAACAAGCTGTTTTGATTCAAGGAAATTGTCCTCCACATGAAGCTTGACTTAATACTCTGAAAAAAACTGACTTTCTCTGACCCTTATGATTTCTATGTTTAATTAAACATTTATCTCTTGAACAATGGACTGTCTTTTCATTCCATTTGTAAAGCACCCACCTCACTATGACTCTTACACTTTACTGTGGCTTATAGTTAGTACTGCAATTTAAAAGGAAATAATGAGGAAATTGTCCTACAAAGTGCAGCTGCTGCTGTAGCAGTGATATTGCAGTAGTCCCAAGAGAAATAGGTGTTCCTAGGTCCTAAGGGTAACCATAACAGCAAACTCTCCCAGGCTCTTTGTGCAAAAGGAAAACTCAAAGGATATGAAAATGATCCCAACGCAATTCTAATATAGCAGTGAGTAAACAAGCCATCTGTCAGGGTGCAGAGGTGACTGCACAACGAAAGGCCTATAGCAGGTGTGCTCTCCTACTGAATAGAAAGTTAATGGTAACAGTCATCTCAGAGAAAATGGAGTGCACAATGCAGCTTGACCATTCTCTTGGCTTCAGGCAAATCCTGAGACTCATGAAGAAACACCTGGAACACGAGTGATCCAAGCAGGGCAATAACCCCTTATTGACTGTAATTGAGCAGTGAATTACAAGGGTATTTTGGCAGACATAATCCTGCTGTGATGCAGACATTACTGACAAACAGGCCAGCTTGCAGTACCAGAATTGTCTGTATCTCTGGCTTTAGAGATACTCCTTTGCAGCTGAACTCTCCTGGAGACACTCCCATTCATCACCAGAATGATGTACCAGCAAAAGTGAGTTCTGTTAGGCACCGCGATTCGGTGACTGCACAGAAAACCCAGGGTGGGTGAGCATCTTGCAGAATGCAGGCAGAGTGCTTTGCCACACTTTACAGAGGAGTCCCACCCCTGGTGGCAGATGAATGAAGGAGTTAGACTCCTCATCAGTTTTAGGGAATATTCAGATAGAATTTTGCAAGTATTTGGAAAAATATTTTCACTGTTTTTTTGCAAGTAACACAGAAAACTGGAAGCAAAGGGTTAATGTTTAAAGGGCAAGAGTTCAATGTGGAGTGACAACAGCAAGAGTACTTATCCTGATATCACTTAAAGATCAGAGCCTTATATACTTGTAGCTGTAATTTGTACTGTTTAAATCCATTGGCTCTTCATTCTCTGTCTCTGTTGGGGTACATTCACTTGACTGCCTAGGGTGCTCCAAGATAAAATACCTGTCTTGTCATAATTGTACACTTGTCTGCATAATTGTGTATTTGCCTGCTCTGCCTCAGAGGCAAAGTTTGGGATCAATTATACAAAGATGCTCTTCATAGTATTGCTTAGTCCTAATGAAGCTGTAAACCTCATTTGATGTATGGTCTCGTGTGCTGGAGCTGCATTTTCTCCACAATTAATATACTTCAATAGCTTTTTGTAGTAAGCAGCACTCTATTACTTCTCATGGCATATGCTGATGGGTTTTTCAAGGCATTTGTACCGTTGAGGGAAAAGTAACAAAGCTACCTGAGACTGCAATTCAGTTTGATCATCCTTCTGTTCACAGAAGGCAGATGGATGGTGTTTCACTGTCGCTAGCTGGCTGCCGTGTATTTCCTGTCTTCCCTTTCTTGCTGACCTGCTGGTCTTTTTTTAGTTCCTTCAGCCTTCACAGCGATTTCCACCTTCAAAATCTTTCCTAATAAGGGCTCTTTTAGATAACTCTGATTTTTTTTCAGAGATGACAGAAATAAATAGAAATGACTTGGCAGAAAGATCTAGCCATCAGATAGGACACAGTTAGGAAACCAAGCTGTGAGAACACAAAGGTTCAGTGAAGCTGTTATACCTCTTCTGACTTGGAAACCTCATTCAGAAAATATTCTCTGTAAAAAAATAATGATAATGCATGCTCCTAACCCTGCTGCCTTTCTGGAGTTGAATGCATTTTGCAATAATTGCAATTCACCAGCACTCCTAGGAGGCTGTCTAAGTATGATTGCTATAAATCAAATGCACAGTCACTGCCAGAGCCCAGACCAGACCATGGAGATCCTAACAGTTATGCCATGCTCTTCTTCATGCTGGATCTTGAAGTTAGTTCTTTTATTCAGGGTCAATAAAGATACCATCTGCAACCATCTTTAAACACCACAATCCTGATTTACATAAGGCAGAGGTGTGTCTGGTCCTGAGTTGTTGCCTATACACTGGTCTCAGATCCTTCACTAGTGTTGCAATGTCACATCTAGTGTTACTACAGGTTGCCTGTATTCAATTTTGAATGCATTGCTAATGGCTATTCTTTAACCCCCATCTCCATAAGTTTGAGTTTGGGGGGGATTAGATTAGAACTGAATGTATCAGAGTGAGTGATTACCTTTATACTAAAAAATGAGAATAAATTTAAAGGGTATAGAAGTGCTGCATTTTGGATTCACTCTATGTCACTTCAGTCTTTTAAAAAAAGTTTTTTGGTTTAAGCTAGTCCAGACTCCCACTGCCACTGATCATGAGGGCAACCTAAATAAATCCTTTTGACTGGATGTCTGATTTTGACAGCTTGCGGTGGTCTTTGAGGTGAAGGTTGCATTTTTTTTCCACATTTCCTAAGCAAGACTCTGTGACTTTTTTTTCTTTTTGTAAAATGGAGTATTTTGTTAAAAATTGCCTAAAGCAAGCAAAGGTGTTAAATAACCTCAGCAGAAGGTCAAATATTGTCAAATGAAATACTGACATTGCTTCAACTGGTTGTAACAGGAGTCCTATGCTTCCTACTCTGCACTGCAAGAGGGAGTTGTTGAGCTGGGCAGACATGGGCGCTGGAGTTGGCTGGGTGTCAAGAGACTTGGGTGCTGGCAGCAAAGGGTTTCAGCAGTGGGCCTTCAGGGTCGTTTCAAAGGAGTACTGGGCATAACACTTTCATTCTTCTCCATCTCCTGGGTTTGTTGTACATCATCGTAATTCCCAAGGAGAAAACATAGTGAAACATCACTGCTTTCCTCTTCTCTCTGGGTGTCTCTATCTGACACAAGGCAGATCCTCAAAAGTGCTGTTGCACCCTGTGTTTCTGACCCTCTTCTTTCTTTTCACACTTGGTTCCTGTATAAGCACTTATTTTCTACAGTAAGGGGTTTTATCTTCTTTCCTCTACTCAGGCCATCTATCATTTTGTAATCTTCTTTGGCATATTGCTCACTGCCAGTCTGTGGTATCTTCCTGTTCCTGGATATCTCTCCCACGCCCCTCAGCAGTGGCATGCAAACACCACATCCTGCTCCATCAAAGAAACCATGCAGTTCTAATCTTTACTATACAGTCAAACCATCCCTCCTTGTAATCCCAGGATAGTCATGTGTTCCAGCAGTGTCTCAGTTGCCTTCCCTAATCTCACACTCCGTGTGAGAAAGGGATTTTCTGCTTAAAAGAGTGGAGAACTAACAACGGTGAAAATTTCTCACACCAGCAGCTCTGCAAAGCTCCCTAATGCAGCCATGCAGCTTCCTTTCCCCCTTTCCCTCCTCTCTTCATCATTAACTCTGTTTTTGGTTCTCCCCACAGAGAAGCTGAAGTTCCACAGTTTTGATATCCCTGTGCTGTCCTAGCCTATTCACTTTGTATTACCATATCCTTTGTCTCTGCCTAGTGCCCCTAGAATAGTGTCTTGGGCCTCTCTGGAGCAGAGAAAATTTAAAATGTTAGCATTGTATTATGTAATTCACAAACAAAACCACAAACATACTTGCTGTCTACAGTAGGACTGTCAACAAAGTAACCTGGGATTCAAGCAATCTGTATGCAATTTGATCTGTTTAAACCCTGTCTCTAAAGATCAGATTAGGTATCTCTCCTTCTCTGTTACTCATCTGTTCTGTGAGCACTTTTCTCAGCAGAGAAATACAAATGGGCTTTTCTAAGCTTTTCTAGGAAGTAAATAGGAATAAACTACCACTTCCTTCAAAATCCACAGACCCAGGCTATGTTTTGTAATGGATTATGCAACTGGCCAAACTGGAGATGAAATACACAAGGCACTTCCTGGAATAACTTGTCGGAAACCTGCTGAGGCTCTTTGTTTTTCATATCATTACACTGAAAGGTCTTAGGCAGTGGAACAGATTATGCCCTTTTCTCCTTCCACTCATTCCCACTGAGATATAGTGCATGAAGCAAAAGCATTTTTCTTATTCTACTATTCCACTGCAGTCCAGGAGCCCTTTTTATGTGCCACAGTAGCTGCTTCTGATCAGCCATGGCACTAAGACTCAGCAGCCTATTCCCAACAAACTTGACAATAATCATCACACCAGACAATAGAGTGGCATATTCAGGGTTCATTTCGGCATTTGCAACAGAAAGGCAAGTTAGTCAGAAGAGCCCCTTTTCCTTGGTGAGGAGAGCCAGCATTCACCTACCCTGAGGAGTACTGGGTAGGAGGTAGACACTTTGTTGTTTGGTTTTTTTTTTTTTTTTTTAGTTGTGTAGGACAAAACAACTTTAAAAAATGTTTTAAGATACATAGGGGATGGCCCACATCAGTTTCAATGAGGCAGGGTGCCAGATGTATTATGTAAAGTGTTGATCTTTCCTACATGTTAAGTTGGATATAGAACAGTCATTTTCCACTCCTCCTTTCTGGCAATAGGCCCAGCCCATGCCCTTCCATATAAACTGGGCCCCTCGTTTCAGAATAGCTGCCCAAGGTATCAGCAAGACTCAGAAACTGCCGTGGTCCTGTTGATGATGGCAGTTGTCTTCTCAAGAACCAAGGGTATGCTCTTCCTCTTTTCTCCCCATGCTTTTATTATGATCAGCCTGCAACTCCATAGCTGCGTTTCTCCATCTTCCTGGATCCTTCAAACATGGTCTACCTCCGCTGGGACCATGACGAACAGGAGCTGATGAAGTTTGAGCTGCAGGTCCATACGACTGGCTGGGTGGCATTTGGATTCAGCCCTCACGGAGAATTGCCTGGATCTGATACTGTGATAGGAGGTGTCTTCCCAAATAGCAGCATCTACTTCTCTGTAAGCTGAAAAAACTTCCTCTGCATCCTCTTTTACTAAGGGTCATGCTCCAAGAACATTGGTTTGAAAGCATATGGGCTCAACTGGCTAAAGATAGATGCCTAAGATCATTTGAGAGCCTCAGTTGGCATGGCCTCTGGCTGACAGTCCAGAAGAGCCCAGGTCATCTGCAGGTCCCATGTCATACTCCATATGCTCCATAACAGCTACCATAACAGCTACCTAAGATACCCTATGGTATCCCAGATGGCACTAGATTATGTTGTTTAGGCAAATAAACTGATCCCACCTGCAAGTCAAAACCACAGCCGGAACAAATTAGATACGACTGAAGCAATCACCTACCATGCAGCTAGAAGAGGCTGCTGGGAGCATAACAAAGGTTAGTTCAGCCAGAAATCAGATGTGAAACTCCCATGTGTTCCCTCACTGAAGCTATGCAAAAGTTAATTTACTTGGCTTCTTCTGTAGTAAGTGGAGATATGTTCACCTCCAAAGATTGCTTCTTTCTGATGGTCTTAAAGGTCTGCCTTAGGAATAGGATAGGACATCCTTGGGACTTGATGTTTTTTTCCATTGTCTGTAAAGGCAACCACTCAGGACAGATGCCTGATGTTAAAACAGCTGGAGTTTAGAGGAAAAAAATGCCGCTGCAGTAAAAACCCAGTATATTTGTTTGTTTTGACCATGAAAGAGAAACAGGCAGTTTAATGTTATCCAGATACAGAAAGAAAAAGAGTTTACACTGGTGAAGTGTTTGCCTGTCACAGGTGGTTTTACTTTGTTCAGTTGTTTTCAGTTCCCTTTTCACACAACAGTAAAATGTGTTTTGCATGAAATATGTCTTGGTGCTTGGCTAAAACGGGTGAACTTTGGAGGGGGTGAGGTAGCTAGCCTTACTTATGGTCTTCAGTTGGTTGCAAAACCACTCTTGTAATAGCCACTTTTGAAATCTTTCAGTGATTGTGACACAGGGAATTTTTGGCTGTGAATTATTACAGGGGGGAAAATTATGATCAATTTAGAAGAAATGCTTGTGATTTATTTTTTAATAATGATTTTTTTTTTTAAGTGAGTCGGGGTGAAACCAAAGCATTTATTTTCTCCTAAAAGAACATCCTGAAAGGAAAAAAAACCCAAAATGTTTGGTTTCAAAAATATTAAGCATTCCATTATTTTTAGAAGAGATATTTAACATTTTCAATGTTTTTCTGCATTGGTAGCTGAAACTCCTTGTTTATGTTGGAAAATGATTTTGGTCCCACAAAAGTTTGACTTTTTTTCAACTCTTTTACATATTGGAAAATGTCTTTCAATTATTTAGGTCTGGAGACATTCCAGTAAGTAAACACATTAATGACCACAAAAATCCATATTTGCTCAGTAGGCTGTATATCACATCCACTGAACCTGTGGAACAGACAGTTTGACAGAAAAATATGCTAGTTACTGTAAATGAGTTTAAGTGGGGTTTTCCATTTGCATTCTTCCTTCTAACCCTCTCTCTCTTGCTTCCTTGATTTTTGTTTTAATTTTCCTCTTTACTACAACCCTAACAAAGTCATTAGCTGAGTAATGTCCAAGGAGTGAAAAACTAGCCAAAAGGGCTTGTTTTCACAAAGGTGGGGTGTTTTTTTCAGCTGTTGACTGCCTTCCTCTTTCATAAGTTATATTTAATTTCAAACATTTTGTTCATTTCAAAGTAGCTTATTTGCAGGCTACTTATCTTTTCATTTTGATCTTTTAGTGAAAGAGTGCAACAGGTATTTCAAAACAGTAGGAAAACAAAAGCTGTCTTTTCGAAATGTGGTATGTCCCTCTGTAAACTGAGCATCTGGGTTAGAGAAAAATTGCTTAGAGTATTCTGAAAGTGCAAAGCTACGGATAAATTCAAGAAGAAGAAAGAATATTAGAGGAGATACTGGGAAATTTAGCAAAAGTTGTAAGCAGGTTTTGAAATAATCATTTAAAGGAACAGAGATGGGAGGAAAAAATAACAGGAAGGATTTCACATAAAAATATTCTTTCTTGACCAGACTGTTGCCTGGTAAAAATTTTCTCTTCTCTGGTGTCCCTCCAAAGTTGAGTAATGCAGCAAAACTTTTCAATGTAGCACTTAACAGCTGTACATTAGGGAGACATTTGTTTTATTATGTTTCGGGTCTCTCTCGGAGAGATTTTCATCCCATCTGCAGACACTGCTTTCTCATTTCTGCTCATTTGAACTCCTTTGCCACAAAAAGATGATGCAGTCTCGGTCAGTCAACTTGGAGCTTTACTTTTTATCCTTCTTCCCTTTCTGCAGTGGTATATACAGTCCCACATTCTCACCTCGTATTTTCATAGCAGCAGTTACTGTGGCCCATTCTGTTCCCAGCGAGATTTCCTTAGGAACTAGACATTTAGATGCTTTTCAAACTCTGCCTCATGTTTCTGTGCCTTTTTACCAAGTAACAATTGCATTTGATGACCTCAGCAGGGAAGATCCTCTAGGATCCATCCTATCCAGGCCATTTGCTGGGTGATGGGACCCGGGGGCTGCTCTTTCCTTGAGCAGCTGGATATAGCAGGGACTGGATGCGAGTTCTCTTTGATTGGTTTGCGGAAATCAACAGTGAAAGCAGAGGAGCTTTTTGGAGAATGAAATGCTTTGATAATTACTCGGGTCCCAACAGGGGTACTTGGAAACAAGACTTCTCAGAGTGTAGGATGCTCCCTCTCCCCTCCCTCTCCCCTCCCTCTCCTCTCACCACTGTTTCTTTTCCAGGATTGTCGTGTGGTAGATGAGACAACCCTTGAGGAAGATGAGAACCAGGACTACCAGCTGCTGTCAGTGACAGAGAATGAGACCTCCACCACCATGCTGTTCAAACACCACCTCCGGACACGTGACCTAAATGACCTGGATATCACAGTAAGAAAGGGGACTGCTCAAGCAACATCCCAAACAAACCTGCTCTCATGTCCCACTGTATTCCCAGATCCTCAGAATTAGATCTGAGAATGACAAGTTTTTCTCACAGCAGTACAATAACAGGAACATACAGAAAAATACGGGACCATACAGCCACACTTAAATAATGCCCATTTCAAGGGCACTATATTGATGTATTTGATGGTTTTTACAATGTTTGCCATCAAAGAATAGGGAAGATATAAATCTCAACATTTTTGTAAGCTTGAACATAGCTCTTCAATATTTTGCTTATTTCTCTGTCTCTCTCTTGTTTGTCACATATAAAAACCCTATCTGGTAGGAGAGTTAAAATTTCTATATGCCTAATATAAGGCAGTATTTTGGTAAGAGTTATGTTTAGAAAATTAAGAATGCTTTGATAATCTCAGTCCTTCTCCCTTGAAAGAGCTTCATACTGGTATTGACTGACCTTAAAAACTTGGAAAACCCAAATTGATATTTTAAGTCAGACATTTTTCAAAAATATGCTTTGGCGGGGTTCACAAGCACCCTAATTCATGCAGTTTCAAAACTCTGCATACATAGATAGTTTACACAGTTTCACATTTACTTGAGGGACCTCTGGGCAAATCAGCATTATTCAAGGCTTAGCCCACTCAAAAATGTTTGTCCAGAAATAGATGTACCTTCACCATTTTTTCCAGAGGTCAAATACATGTGCAAATGACTGGATAGATGCCTTTGTAGTCACAAACCTTCTTAACGACCTTTACTAATTGAAAGAAATATAATCCCATTCTGAATGGGATGAACCTACAGAGTTCCATGGCTGCTGCTGTCCTTACGTGATGGGGCAGATCCTGGCAGATCATTGAGTGCATTCATGCTCAACAGTAGCTGCTAACAGGGAATCAGGGGACTAGTTTTGTTTGCTTTTTGTGTAAGTCCCTTAGTAAGTCTTCATAAAAATTGTCCAAAGCACATTAACAGCGTATACAGATAAATGAACTGCATCTGCTTGTTCTACGATATGCAAAAATCTGAAAATATGATCTTTATCACCACTGTACAGCTCCTGTAGCTAAAACAGTATCCAGATGCTCAGTATCTAAACATTTAAGCACAAAATTATGCAGGTTCTGAAATCTTATAAAATCCCTTACAGCTTTTTTTTCCAGCTTGCTTTTATTTCAAGTACCAACACTTTAAATTCTTGCATATTTATAATCTACTGAAGATATTTAATTATTCCTGTCTTAGTTTTGTGGAAACTACAAAATATCACAGAGAAGAGAAGAGAAATAATGGGGATACATTTAGACGCTTTGCGACAAGCCTGGCTAAGAGTTCAGAAAATGCAATACTACTGTGCACCTTGCCTCCAGCATCAATTTATGCAGCATCTCAGTGTCAGATGTAAGGATTTACCAGGAGACCTGGAGCCCCCCTATTACCATCACCTCATGGTGCATGAGTCATCCTTGTCAACTGGAGTCCAAAAGTACCAGCTCAGTGTAGTATTGCATTAACATCTTACTTCTTTTAACAGCCCACACAGTCAGCCCACACAGTCAGCACTTGCTCAAGATGCAGCAGCATCTGCTGATCAGTGTGGGCAATATTCCATAGTAAGGAGGCACTATTTTTATGTAAAGATTTGTGGGATTAGTGGTATCATGTGTGTGCTTGTGACTCTAGAAAACTGGCAATTAAATATGTTGATTGAACCAAACAAGTTATTGTTACAATAGGTAAATTAGTAATGAAATTCCCTTTTGGAAAAAATACATTAAAAATCTGAAAGAAAAAGTTAAATTCTCTAATTTAAAATTAATTCTTCACCTGGTGCATCTGACAAATGTGTTTTCCCTTCACCAGAATACAGTTTTATCTTCTTGATCCATTAATCCTCTCACTCATTGCAACCAAAAGCCAATCCGATGCTTGCTAAATGCATCATCCTTCCTGATCCCTGCACTTCTGGGTCTCATTCTCCTTGTACTGACTCCCTTTGGCTTCTCCAATTCCCTGTGCGCATTATTGAGTTGCCAGGGGAACCTTCAGGTGACTTGTGTGTCTGTTTGTTTTCCAGTTTGCTGTTCCAGTTGAAGAAACCAAGTATGCCCGTACCTTTATCCCACTGCCCATGGTCAAGCAGAAACACCATATCTACAAGGTAAACTTACAGCCTGTATAACTGGGGAAAAACCAGGACAGGACAGACTTGCTGCTTCAATCATGCATACAAGTCTGTCTTTTAGAGCAGTTCAGTATAAATTTGGGAGCATTCCATCTGTCCTTCACTGCCATTGGGATGAGTGAGCTAATTTGTCTGGCTTGTGTAGAGATAAGCTCCGTCTTGTTTCTAGCTTTGGAAGTACCTTTGTCTTTACGTCCATCACACCTGAAGCAACAGTGCTTCAAGTCTGATGTCTCAGTGTGGTGAGCTCAGGCCATATTACCTGTCTCTGAGAGCAAAGGGAGCCTCCAGTATTTTCTAAATTTGAAAGGACTTTTGCTTTTGTTCTTGAAAATGGCTAATATTTGTATAAAAAGCAAAACTAACATTTTTGCAGTCTTGTTTTCAACATTCATTGTGCAAAAAAGAAGAGCAAAGAAAAAGAAACAGGAACTTTCCAAAGCAAGCCTAGCTTAAGTCTCAATTTAAGACAGCTTTGATTCAAGGTCAAGCAACCCTTCTTAGTTTTGTAGGTTTTGAAGGTTTAAAAACAGATGTTCCACTGCAATGGCATAAGGCAAAATTTCATAAGGAAGAATTTCCATGGACTGGAACAAAAAAGAATTTGACAGCTAATCCTACAGAACAAACTCAGGAACTTTAGTCAGTTCGTGTGGTAACATCAGGATTTTGAGGCCTGATCTCATCAGTGCTGGAAAAAAAATCAGTGATTAATGAACAGATCCAGGTTATTTGCGGGGTTTGTTTTATCCTTTTGGCTTAGCTTAGGGAGTAGTAAATTATAGTGAACCTGAGATTAAGGTCCCTTATCTTTCTCTGAAAGAAAATGGTGTATGAGGTAATTTCTAGTCTGGAACCACACTGCCCAGCATAACAGGTCAAACAGACACCCCCTGTGATTCTGATTAAGGGGAGGTGTTTCAGAGGAAGATGAAAATCCTTTCTGGAAAAAATGGACTCCGCTGGGTGCATACCGAAATGAGTAGATAAATCATCATCCAGTTTACTGTCCATTTTGCAAATCAGATTATATCGGTTTTCCTAAGCTATGGGTAACTGCTTTTTCTGGTTGCCTGAAAAAAAAATGAATATTTTAGGGTTGACAATAACTTTTTTCCACTCTTTCTCTTGATTATAGTTTGAACCTGTAATAACACCCCACAATATAACCTTAGTTCGTCATATTCTTGTTTATGCCTGTGGCGATGCCAGTGTGTTACCCAGTGGCATAGATGATTGCTATGGAGCCAATCCAGATTTTGCGCTGTGCTCTTCAGATGCTTGTGGGCTGGGCTGTTGGAGGAGAGGTGAGTCTGCAGGACGCATTCCCTTCCCCATTTCTTGTTATGAACAGTAGTACCCTTGTTGTCAGCTTGTCCAGGAAGACCCCACAGTCCTGCAGGGCCAACCAAACTGGGGAAGTTTCTTCCTACTGCCCCTCTTGACCACACTTCTGCCGCACGAGGCGAAGCTGGCAATTTCTACATAGTTGTCAGTACTCTGCATCCCTTCCCCATTTCTTGTTATGAACAGTAGTACCCTTGCTGTCAGCTTGTCCAGGAAGACCCTACAGTCCTGCAGGGCCAACCAAACTGGGGAAGTTTCTTCCTACTGTCCCCTCTTGACCATAATTCTGCCGCACGAGGTGAAGCTGGCAATTTCTACATAGTTGTCAATACTCTGCATATGTGTGTATGTTATTATCATACATGTATTAAACAAGTTTTATATGTCACATAGGAAGGCTTTCCTTCTGACCTTTTGATAATGTTGCCATTAATTTCACAAAATTGTCCTTATGCTAGCCTTGTGCAATAGAAAGAAGTGTGCCTCCTTTCTGGTTTTTTTTTCTACTGACTCTGCCTCTTTTTCAGCAAAGTAAAATTAAAAGTTCAGTGAAATTGGTGCTTCTGGCTGAGTGGCCTAGCTAGTAGTCAGTATCTATCTGGTGACAGTTACTTTGCCTTTAAGAGCAAAATGTATTTTGTATTTCTATGCTATGCATGTACACAGGGATGGAGAGAGGTAGGAGAGATACTCATTTTTTATACTAATTTTATATTATGCCATGCCAATGCTTGTATTTCTATGCTATGCATGTACACAGGAATGGAGAGAGGTAGGAGAGATACAAATTTTTTATACTAATTTTATTCAGATTTTATATTATGCCATGCCAATATTGATATGAAATTTGCTGCCAGCATCCACATATTATAACCATTTCATATTAAATATAGTACAAAAAGAATAATTAAACTAATTAAAAGGATAAATGAAAGATAAATTTTGAAAATTCTTCCCAAATTTTTCCCTTTTTCAGAAGGAAAAGAAAGGGAACCATCAGAATTTCCCACAACATTTTCATTTCTAACCGTATCTAAATAAATATTCAGAGATGCAAGAAAATTAAAACTATATTTTTTTAAGTTTTCAATCAAGAAACAGCAGAGAAGAGTTAAAAAATAACTGCTTCATATAATTTTATTCCTTCTCTTCCTCTTTCCACAAGTCTTATCAATTTCCAGATGAAGCTGCAGTTTCCATAGGAACACCTTGGGATCCTCAGTATGTCCGACTAGAAATCCACTACAGCAATTTTGACTTGTTACCAGGTGGGTAATGCTGGGAAGTTTTCTGATAACATCCTCAGGATGGAAGCTTCAGACTTCACTTACATGTCTATTAGAAAGCAGCTTCTGCATTAAACATTTCCATACAACCTTCATGACAACAAGAAGAAACTGGACTGAGCTCCTATTCAGGAAGACTTAAACTAACTTTAGAAACATAGTTATGTCTGCTTAGACACGACATGTCTTACCATTGAAAGAGGTGAGCACATCTTCCTGCTATGATACTAGTGGGAGTGTTAGGGAAAATGTCGGGGAAATGCCGACATCATGGGAAAAAGGAGCAGTGTGGGAAGGGTCAGAGTGGCTGTGGGAGAAGTAGGTGTACCAAGGGTCAGGATGAAGTCCTGAGAGCCTAATAATACCACCCCTGGTTTCTACCATGACCTCCAGCACTCAGTCCCTATGCCAGGTGATGAAGAAAGCCACCGTGGTATTTGCTATCATTTTACAGAAGGGGAAACAACAGTCTGGAGTGATTTTATGTGAATCATCTGAGACTGTAAGCAGGGCTGGATCCAGATGCACTACAAGTGAAGATCTGTGCAACTGCGCACCTTGCATGGCTTTGAGGCTGTACATTACAGTGGACCACACCACAGGGGTAGGGTTCCTGTTAATCTGTGCCTGCTCCCAACCTGTGATTGGGAAAGAGACACTATGTGTGTTGTTGCTTCAGGCCCCGTGGTCATTTTTCTTTTACAGGTTTGATTGACAGCTCAGGGGTACAAATTTACTATTCTCCGGAGCTACGGAATTATGATGTCGGGGTTCTGCAAGTAGGCATCTTCACTTTCCCTGTGCATTTCATTCCTCCTGGAGCAGAATCCTACAGATCTTACAGCGTTCGCAATTACAGCCAGTTTGATGAAGTGAGTGCAGAGAAAGCTGTGCAAAATGCTTCCTGATCTTTCCCCCTTTGGGTTTTCATCTTGCTCTAGACTTTCCCCTTTCCCAGGCGCAGCATGTGCTAAGGCTAGAGGCAAACTCCAAAGATATAGGCACCCCCACCCCACCTAAACACGTACACTCAGAGAGCAGACTCATCCGGCCACAAAGAGATGAACACAGACAGGAGTACAGTACCCTCACAGGCACTCTGCTGGCATGAACAACACCCGCATGCGCACAGACAGCACAAATGACCCAATCCTATTCCTCCTATCTGAAAAATCAGGCTTAAAGTTCACTAGAGGAGCACAACCATAAGCACGCTCACTCAGCTCCCAAACATAATCACATTTTTTAGTCTCTCCAACTTCTGGTCCAGATCATAAGTCCTTTCAACATCTGTGCCCAGATCCATGGCCCTTATATGCAGTCTCTGGCCTGGACCTTGAGTCTTTCTAGCTTGAAGTTCCCTAGTGGAACAACCCACCCCAAAACCACAGGTACACACATATACACATTATAGAGAGCACACTCACACAGAAAATAGTTAGGAACAGAGTTTAATGAGATAGTCTAGATTTCAGCAATCAGGTACCGGGCTTGATCAGACAAACAAACTGGTCTGTTTAAGTACAACTGGACTCTGCTCTTCCTCTCTCTGTTTTCCCATGTTTTTCTGCACCTTTGACCTCCTCCCTAAGAATTCCACAATAAATTTTGCACATTCCCACAATCCTCTTAGAACATCCCATAAGTTTTATGCAGTCCCACAATCCCCCGTGAAAAATCCATGCTTGCCCTCTCTTATGAGGCCTGAGGCAATCTTGTTTTTCTTCTTTCAATCACTTTTCAAATCACTTTGCATCTTTTAAGGTTTACATTTTGATGGTTCTTTCAATGGCCCATTGATCAGTGTCTTACAATTTCTGCTTTTACTCTTTCTACTACCTGCTCTTTCTTAGAGTTCGTGTATCTGCATGTTTAACTTATTCCCTCTCCTTTATCTTGTCTTAGTTTTTTACACAGCTGATAGCAAGATATGCTTACAGTACCCAGCGTGAGATATCACAAACTCAGACCACTGTACCACATTACCTAAAGCCAGAAGAGCAATTTTCAGGAAGACTCACCAGAGCAACCTTTCAATCAGTAGTGACCTACATGAGGAAATGGGCTTAAACCTCCTTTAAAAAAAAAGAAAAAATTAAGCTGACTTAAACTTTTGCTTCACAAGGTCATTGCCCCCAGCTCGAAGGTGCCAACAAGGTGTTCAAGAAACGTGTAGATGTGGTGCTTCGGGACATGGTTTAGTGAGTTAGGTGGTGTGGGTTGACGGTTGGACTTGATGATCCCTGGGGTCTTTTCCAACCTTAATGATGCTATGATTCTATGATTCCAAAAGTAGGGATCTACTGAAAAATTCTGATCTGGATATCACACTCAGTTAATTCTGTGAATGTTTTAGCTGAACTTTCAAAAGTTTCAGATTTTGGGATCTTGTAGATTGAAATAAAAATATGGTAGTTTTCTTGAAGGAGAGATTTAGGTTGTAAAATAGCAGAGCAACCTATTTATCAGACTCTTGTGAGGATACTTTGATTCTCTGTTTCTGCCTCTCAGACAGACAATTAAACTCTTTTATTTTCAACAGACAGGATCTGCATGAACTGCAAACAAGAGTGCTTTCCTGAGGAGAAATAGTCTCCTCCTTGGGTCTCAGGGGAGTGGGCCAAGCACCATGCATGAGATGTGTCTCACATTCCTCTTCTACTACCCTTGTAACAACATCTCCAGCTGTATGGGCTACCCTGATATTTTGTACATTGCACATGTACTCAAGCAGAAGGCCTCAGAGTGAGTCCTGAGTCAACATGGCTTTGGACGTAGCAGAGCAAAATATAGCTATGAAGAATGGCAAATGGAAAAGATAATGAAAATTAAGTGTTGCTGAGAGGGAAGAAAGAGGCATGTACCTGGAGCTGTCAAGTTGAACTCCTTTGTTGCAAGAATGTGTCAGCTGTGATGCTTTAACAATCCCTTCTTCTGTATCTTTTTTTTTTTCCCCTTCTTTTTTTTTTCCACCCACCTTCCTTATATTCTCATCATTTGTCTTCACCTCCCCATTGTCCCTTATTCTTTCCCCAGGGCAGTGGAAGGAATGATGGCCATGGACTTTGTTGACTGGGACAACGATACCATCAAAATTGCAGAGAAAGCAACCAAGGAGGCAGATCAAGTAGTCATGATTAAAACCATTAATGTAAGTCTCCCTTTGAGCAATCTGTGGGTGGGGAAATGCACTTGGCTCTGACGTTCTGAGAATAAAGCACAGCTGAGAGATAGAACCAACACACAACACCTTGGGTAACACAAGCTATTCGTAGCTTATTTGTGTCTGCAGTTGCAAGTAACTGCCCAAGATATATTTAGTCATCACTTAACTTTGAACTAAAAAAGCTAAAAATTCTTCTCCAAAGAGGAAAAACTCTCTTGCATCTTTGTAACATAACAGTGCTTAGGGGGTGATGCCAGGCATTTTTGACAAAATGAGCAATAAAATTGTGCTGAAGGTCCCTCCAACAACATGCATGGAAAGGGAGTTAGGATGATCCAGAAAATCCACATACATGGAACATAGCTTCCTGGCTCTTTCTTTCTTGCTTGCTTTCTGACCGCATTTCAGTGCATCAGTCATACTTACTCATCTTAGAGGCAAATTAGGGAAAAAAAATCTCTTTAAATTGAGACAGGTTCAAAATTCCATCACCTTCTCCTCTCTCAGAGAGCTTCTCTGCTGTCAGAGGGGAGATCCATGTTGTGACTTTCTGAGATGGCTAGTTATGCATCCAGACAGCAAGAAAACTGACTAAAATGCATCCAAAACTTGCAGTGTCATGCTAGGTTTTAGTGACTCCCAACTTACACACAGATCACGTAATTTTATTTTTCCCTCTTTCCTTCCATTCCCAGGAACTACAGAGAAATGAGTGGTCTAATCAGAGACATCAGTATTCCAGAGCAGGCTGCCTGTCACAATATTTCTGGACACCTCTCATTGTCTGGTCTAAGGTCCACTGCAAACCTTCCTTTGACCACAGTATGTACTTTTGTGTCATCAACCACCACAGAAACTGCTTCACTTCCTCTTCTTTCTCTCACACAGCTGGTGTTTGCTTGGCTTATCTTGGCTTCCTAGTACTGGTAGCAGGGCATTCCAGGTCTGATTTTCATAAAAAATATTTTCTACTAGAAAAATTAGTTTATTATAAATCAGAAAAGTAATGTACTGTAATGCAGCAATGACAGGAATACAGTCATCTCTCAATAGCTGATACTTAATTATTAAATCCAGAGCTTTCATGGATGGGTTACTATATGTATTTGCTCACTGGTATTTCAGTAATCATTATCTAGTCTCAAGGTATCTACATAATCCCTGTACTTAGGTCAGTATACAAAACAAGGCTCCTTAGCTATTAAGTAGTGTGATTGATTCTAAAACTAGTCCTGCCGTACCCATCAATGACTGTATGGCAGGGAATTTGCCTGCTGATTGCTGGGCAATAATGAGGCAATGACTTGGTGTTTACCGGAAAATAGACCTTACATGCTCTCATGTAGCAAACCTATGAATTCCAGTTTTAAAAATGCTAAACCATTTGCTGTTCTCTTTTCTTATATTTTCCCCCAGTGTATAGATGAGGACTAGAAGAGCAACCTCATTATGGTTCTGTTCTTTATCACTACACTGACTCTTCCAAATTTCAAATTTCATACTGGTACTTTTCACCAAATTATCTCCCCACATTCCCAAAGGCAGAGTCTCTGCTTATTTTGACAATAATTAGTACACCAGGTAAAAACACCCTCAGACTTTAAAAGCAAACATCACAAAACAGAGTGATTAGGAGGTTAACTAGCCACACAGGGTGGATTCCTTCCTCATTGGGCTGATGGACATTTATTAACTAGTAATTGTCTTGGCCAGAAAACAGAAGCATGAGGAGAAAAAAAAAAATATTTGTCCTGAAGGCAAATGAAGAGAATTCATGAGATTCCAAGAGAATCATCCAGACACTCAGAGCTGTGTCCCAAGTAAAACGTACCTTATTGAGATCACTGCACTGTGCTTAGTAATATCATCTTAATTCTCATTGAACATTTTCCCCTTCAGATTCCTATGGAAATATATCACATTCCTTCTCAGTCACAGTGTAGCCAAGTCACAGCACGGCTGGTAGTACTGAGTGAAACATTCATCCTCCTTTGTATTTAATTAGGGCAAGAGGCTTTAAAATAGAACAGAACAGAATAGAATAGACTAGAGTAGAATAGTTCCAGTTGGAAGACACCTACAAAGTTCATCTAGTCCTGCCTGACCACTTCAGGGCTGACTGAAAGTTAAAGCATGTTATTAAGGGCATTGTCAAAATGCTTCTTAAACACTGAGAGGCATGGGGCATTGACCACCTCTCTTATTTCAGTGTCTGACCACCCTTTTGGTAAATGTTTCAGAATGTCAAGTCTAAACCTCCCCTGGTGCAGAGCTGAACCATTCCCACACATCTTATCCCTGGATACCAGGGAGAAGAGATCAGCACCTCCCTCTCCACCTCACCTCCTCAGGAACCTGTAGAGAGCAATGAAGTTGTCCCTCAGCCTCCTTCTCTCCAAACTAGACAGACCCAGAGTTCTTGGCTGCTCCTCATAGGATGTGCCTTCCAGCCCTTTCACTGGCTTTGTTGCCCTCCTCTGGACACAGTCAAGTACCTTCACATCCTTCTTAAATTGTGGGGGCCTGGACTGGTTTTGGCTGGGATAGAATTAATTTTAGTTTTTGTTATTGCTGAGCAGTGCTTACACAGAGTCCAGGTCTTTTCTGCTTCTCACACCACCCCACCAGTGAGTAGTCTGGGGGTACACAAGAAGTTGGGAGGGGACACAGCTGTGACAGCTGTCCCCAACTGACCAAAGGGATATTCCATACCATATGATGTCATGCTCAGCAATATAAAGCTGAGGGAAGAAGAAGGAAGGGAGAGACATTCAAAGTTATGGCATTTGTCTTCCCAAGTAACCATTACACATGATGGAGCCCTGTTTTCCTGGACATGGCTGAACACCTGCCTCAAGATGGGAAGTAATGACTGAATTCCTAGTTTTGCTTTGCTTGCATGCGTGACTTTTACTTATTAAACTGCCTTTGTCTCAACCCATGAG